GTGTTGAATTTTAGCTACGTTTGTGCCGCTTTGTTTTTGCTTTTATATACTGGTCTGTGTACTTTGTTTGAGCTCGATGACTTTTTGGTGACTTTGAGTTGGAATTAATTTTTCAACGTATTCTTTTGCTTATATTTGTACAGAGATGCTTCAAACTATAGGAGAATATCTGGTCTGCTGAGACATTTTATTGCTTCTTGGTCGCTTACTAATTTGTTGCTTTTGTCGTTTGTTATCATTTGTTGAGTTATGGATTTAGAATCTATCCTTCTTAGGGTTCAGTGTTAATTTACTTTTGTATGCAGTTTTAATAAAGAATTTTAACCAGTATTCATCGGTTTTTTGACTTGTTATATGTTACAATAAAGATTGGTTCTGCAAAATTGGACTGGTCGTATGGTTTTTAATGATGAAACCTCTACTTGTCTGCGTAGTGTAAATGCAGGTTATTTGGTTGTTTTTATGTTCAAGCGGGCCAGTTTGGTGTGATATGCAGCATATTGCTGCTAGGAGGTTGCAGTGGATGGCAGTTATTGGTGGGCGTCTTTCTTTTTCTTCGTTTGGCTTATGTGCAGGTTGTTGACGAAAGGTTAACGCGTTTCTTAATTTTTTCTCGTGTGATGCGACTGTTGTAGTTAATCCGCTAAGTGGATTTGTATATCTGGTAGTTAACGGGTCTTTGGAGTTTGCTGATTTTGCATTTTACTGGGTCGGTCTTGACTTCTGGAAGGATTTGGAGATTTTTTTGCGAAGATTATCAGTAATACATGCAGTCTTGTTTTGTCCGTTTCAGCAACTGTTACCAAACGTTGTTTACCGGCTACTTTTAATCAGAATTTTTAGATGCTTACTAGCCTAGCCAACTCTTTTTCACGATTTAATAATCATCTTTTGGTGGAATCTCTTTCTGCATGGAGAATCTGTTCGCAGCGGCTGATTTACACTGTGAGGTAATAAGCAAATTTCTTCTTCAAATTAGTCTGATTAATCGTAAGATATTGTTCATTTATATGGCTGCCACTTGTTTTCAGTGAGTTAGAAAAGAAAGTTTCGCAGCCAGACCGGCTATTTTGGAAGATTCATCTAGAAATGCGGGGTCACGATAAAGCTGTGTTGAAGTCATATACAACTTTTCTTCAGGTAAATTAGTTTTAATGCTTTCCCCTTTACTTTTAAAAATATAGTTGTAAGCTAATACTTATGGCCAAATACCTTCTGGTTCTGTGGCCTTGCTCACTCATACTTTTTTCCATGCTGTTTTCTAATAAAATAAAAAATTACAGACTACTTGTCATCATCTTGATATAAAGCATAGTCCAGTTCAAGTTTTACCTTATTTTAAATGGATCGCCCCTTTGCTAAGAGCAAAATTTGTGTATAAGAAATACAAACTACATTATGAAACACGTACACACATACGCCGTATGAGTATTGAGAAAGTGACTGGCAGTACCGCAAGCACTTTTCTGGAATATATTCAGCGCAATATCCCCGAAGGGGTAGCCATGAAAGTTACTTATGAGGAAGCTGTTCCTCTTCCCAGTATGATATTAAAAACTATGGAGAAAAAAAGTTTAACAACTTGATTAAGCTGTTTTGCTTCCTACCTTTATTCATAGGGAGGATGTGTAGTATAGAAGAGGGCAGAATGGTAAATGAATTAGCATTTTTCTATTTCTTATTTTTAAGCTTTCTTGGCATTTGTTAGGCTTTCTGTATTTCATATTTTTTTTGTTTATTCTTTGTTTTTTGAAATCCACCGGTCGTGGTTGTTTAGATGAGTAATTGTTGTTCATTAATTTTACATTAATCTGTAACATGAATTTTTGGTGTATATGAAGGAGGTGACTGTGGTTGAGTTGCGCCCGATGTTTGTATAAAATTGCTGGCTTTAATGGGCATCCTGTTTATGATTCTAAGAGCAGGATTATAGTTATAATTATGTAAGTTGTTGATCCCTAAATGTTAAAATGACTTCTTCTGTTGTGCTATTTTATTTTTTTAAATTTCTTTGAAAATTGAAGATTATAGTTGCATCAGTTTTCTGGGACTTATATCAGTTCCAGAATGCTCTATTTTTTGATCGAAAGTTTTGGATACCTTTGAAGCGATAACACGGGAGATGTTTTATATACCGTTGTATAATGTGTTTTTTTTTCCAATGTCTCAAACTCAATTTCCCGGTGAAATCTTCTAATATGAATGTTAGAATCACTTTAATTTACCTTGAATGCTTGCTTGAGCTGTATTGTATAATAAAATCTTTTGAACGGATGTTGTTTTGGGATTATTCTAAAGCCATTAGTATAAGTGTGAGTTACTATTTGAAATATCTAATATCTGTCGCAAAACTTGTACTTGTTCCTCATTAGTTGGAAAAATTCTTTCGTAGTAAAACTTCCTCTTACATTTTATATTACAGAAGAGCTGATCCATTCCATTTAATGGATGGTACTCGAAGGCTAAAAGTTTCCAAATTGGAAGCAGTAGCTCTTGACATGTTGAAGGAACTTTTTGGGAACCGTAGTTTTGAAAACTACTTGGTGGATATTGTTGTGGATAGTTTGATGAAGGAGCCGAAGTTCTCAGAGGAGAACAAGAGCAGTAAATTGTCATCTGTAGATAAACGATTAAAGGTTTATAATGAAGGGGCTGCTTATTTGATTCGTCTGATCTCATCGGCAACACAAACTTTTTTGAGAAGCAGTAAGTCTGTACCGTTGTTGCGCACTTCAGTGCTACCTGCATAGCATTTAATAACTCACTGCTCGTGTATCTTCTAAACTTTTCCAAACAGTTACAAAATTTTGCTTTTTACAGCGTATTTTTAATACTTCGTATTTTAAGTTGACCTTGCCTTGTGCAACTTCAATACTGACAGGAACCGAGATGGAGCTCTTATATATTCAGTAACAGTTATCGTCAAAGAATTCGTTTCTTCAAATAATATTGATACCAATCGTTTTGAAATGGTGGTACGCCGTGTCTCATCTCTGTTAAGTGTTTTTGCGTCCAGGATATCCACGTTAGTCTTCTATAGTTCCTCAAAGAATTCCTCTTTGAACTAAATTTAAAATTTATGAGAACTTAGCTGAAAACAATTTGACAGTTAGCTAATGTAGTTTCAAGAGGTCTGGAATACTAAAAGTAAGAAGAAAAAAAGAGCCTGTGGCTGTTTTATTTGTATTTCTCGATACTATCGCCTTTTGTGTTTATACTTTCACATTTTTCTATCATAGGTACTTGACTATGTTGACATATGCTCGGAAACTTTTATTGTTTTAATACTACTAAGCTACAGTATCTTCTAGCTTTCCAGTATTCAACTTTTTAAAAAGTCTTAATTATTTTTATGAAATTTATTTTTAATAGCAAAAAGATTATAACTCTTTCGTATTGTCATCTTTTCAGTCTTTTATGAACTATAGCCACAGTAAGTTCCTTTTATCCAATGAAATAGCATTAGGGTTTTGCTTATTTTCAATGGATTTTTTTTGTTGGGCATTATTTGATGGCGAATCTTTAACTTTAAATTAGTTCCTTCTTGAGGGAATTAATTTGATTAGAGAATTTTTTCAATTTTTGCTATTCAGTAATCGTATTGAGTTGGGTAGATCAGCTGCTTGAATATTAAAAATTTGAATTTTTAGTTTAGAAATCTAAGTCGGGTTGCCTCACTCTATGGCTGTGATGGAAGCTGATTTTTATTCATTATTTAGTTATGATATTACAGACCTTTTCACATTGCAAATAATGCTTTCTTCGCCTCATCACTGTGTGAGATTCTATACGAATTCGAGTCTTACTGCTCTGCTAATCTAGGAGCGTTACAGTGCTTTGAAGAGCTGCGTTCCTCTACTGACGAATTCTACAGCGTTGTCGTCAAGCAGCTGAACGAGGCTAGAGTTTGCACTTTTTATTACTTGGGATTTCAATAGCGCTTCTCTGTTTTCAAGCACTTAGCTACTGAAAGATTATAAGAAAGATATATTACGTGCCGCCGTCTTTACAATATGGTCTTATATTTAATGTTCTCACAGAACTAAAATACTTTTTAAGTCCCCGAAACTATTTTTTGTAACAGTTGGGCAGGTATTGACAAGGTCAAGATGTAGGCACGAAAAGCAGAAGAATTCCTAGTTTTTCTGGATTTTAAAAAGTCAACTAAAATTATTAAATTGTATCATTGGAAATAAGGGAATTTTACAGTAAAATAAGTAATATATCCGAGTGTAAGATTGGACATGCTGGTTAACATTATTTAAAAAAGATAAAATTGGTGGTCATATGAAGGATTATTTTGAATTATTAAAAGCCTTTTTCTGTAGAAGATTTGGAATTTTAGAACAGTTCACAAGAGATTCGTTTGGTCATAATCAAATTATTCCCTTTTTGAGGCGTTTTGTAGTTTCCAGATGGCACTATTGGCTAAAGAAAGTCAATCGAAAAACACGAAAGAAGTAATACGAAATTTTCGCTATGGTTCCCAACTTCGAAGAAGTAGATCTGCAATATTAACCGGGGGTCGGGCTAGAGTTTCGAGAAGCCCAGGTTTTTTGCGACCAAGAAATTCCAAAGTAAAGTTTAAAATTTTAATTAATTGAAGTTTGTAAAACAATTTAACCAACTTCATTTCTTTAGATTTTAAATATTGCATGTGATTTTCTCTGCAGTTTTCATTTCATGTTTTTTTAGGTCAACCAGAAATATACATACAGATCAAGGCAAGGAGGTAGTTGTAGTGCTCGAATTCCCGGGAGTACTGCTGTTAAAAGTAAACCTGATTTTTTGCACAACTTTGTTGTTAAAAGCGAAGTCAGTTACATGAACGATCAAAAGTTGGACCAACTGAATCGTGATGCTCAGAAGTAAAAGTTTTTTCACTATTTCTGTGATAAATAATCTTTAAAAATCTTTTTTTTCTGCTATTGTTTAATGATTTGAGAAAACCTACATTTTAAATTTCACCAGCAAATAATGTGGGCATTTTCATTATTAGAGTTCATTTCAGTTCTGGGGTTTCTTTTAAAATAATTACTTATCAACTCGAGCTAGTAACGTCTTTTTTCTTCTTTTACCTTTGCTTACTTAGCGTTATTTATTTACACCGTTGTATCTTCGTGATCACAGGCTGGCAAGAGAAATTACCAGAGAAATAGTTGATAATTTGGCTGAACGAGTCGATAGACTGTGCACTTCAAGAAATAACAGGACGAACCACCAACGTAGGAAATGAGGATTTTTTTGCTTTTGCAATTATAAAATGCTAATTAAATTAATTTCACCAGCAAGCGTGTTATTGGATGACTTTTGGTCTAAACGGGGATGTTTTGTTTCATGAAATTTGTTCACTCTGCCAAAATTTTTTTAGAATGGCAATGTGATGCATCTCAGACACTTTCAGTTTCGCTGAGTTAATTTTTTTTGATATTTACACTGCCTTTTAGTGGCTACGTGAACGTAAAATTCAATTAGGCCTGCATAATCTTATATAGTAACTGAATTGTTGTTCTTTTTTTCCTGGTCATAATGGTCTTTTTACAACATGGATCTCACTGTAATTTTTCACAGCCTAACTTTTTTTGATTTTGTTATTGTTGTTATTAGTTGATCTAATATTTTAGTTTTTTGTCTGTAAATAACGGACTCACTGAAAGGTTTTTTTTATCTAGAGTCGTATCTATTATTCGCACTTAGGACTTTACTACCTGCCGAAAGAGTGAAAACTGCTGAATATTGCGTTTTTTATGTTTCACTTTTTTAATGATTATTTCTGTGAATAATTGTCTTAGTTTGCTTAATTTTTGTTAATTTAATGATATTTTGTAGTCTGGTCTCGTTAAGTCCAGTATTTACGTGATAGTCTATATTGTATTTGAAAGAGAATTCCTTTTCTTAAGCTGTTGAAAAAAAAAGACATCTCATTATTTGGCAGTTAAACTGCTGACAAGACAAGGCGAGGATTGAATTTGTTGTAATACAAGATTTTTGATGGAGCGACTCCTAATGTAAAAGTATGAGTGAGTAACAGTGCAGCGTAAACGGCAAATAAAAGTGTGGGGAGTTTCTTTTTGCAGGTCTCACACTGTCCATTGCTGAAATAAAAACTTTTTGCTTTAAAGAGATCAGCGCTGATAATTTTTTGCTTTGTTTAGTCCGCTTCTGAGAACGAGCTTTTAGTGCTTGAAAGCATGGGAAAAGTTTTAAAACTGTTGAAGTGCTCTAACTGTCACTAAGAGTTGCTGGTGGGAGTTAACCAGAACTGAAGTGACTGTCCGAGGTTTTGTCAAGTAGATTACGTGCGTGTTACTCCGTTTGTCTCCCGTTAACTAACGGCAACTGAGTGGCTATAGGTTACAACTTGATGATGACAGCAAAAACTGAAATTTCTGTAGCAAAAATTTTGGCATATTAATGACGTTCGGGTCTTAGTGGTGAAGGAGGTATCATTTAGAATTGAGAAGACTAGTTTACTGGCAAACCAGTGGAATTGTTTTTAAACAGCAATCCACTTGTTCTGATCATGATTTTTGGTGGATTTCAATAGGAGCTGTTGAAGAATTCTGTGGGACGCTTTATATGCTCTCTTTTTTGGTACATTTTCAAATTCAGTTTTTTAAGTATGCTGTGATGGTGCCTTACAGTCTTAAGAGAGATTTTTGTTTAAATTGTGGAAGTATCTCTGCTTTTTTTTTTTCTACTATTGCCTCAAATTACTTTCAGCACTATTATTGAAGATAGACTTTAGTGACGCAAAAAGTAAACCAAAATTCCGGAAACTGGTACATTACAACTTGTTTTCTTTTCTGCTGTGTAATTCTCTAGTGCCAATTTATCCATGCACACTTGCAAGTTTTGTTTAAACTAAATTGAGTAACTAAATTATACTTTAAATAGTATGCAGGAAAATACTTATGTGAGAAAGCATAATCTGTTATTAAATTTTTGTCTCCTGGGAAGTGAGTGAATAAATAACATCTATAAGCACTTGACTAAAGTCTGTTTTATACTATTACTATCTGTTTGGGACTTTGAAGGGATAAATAGTCGGGACCCAAATTTCCTACAGAAACGTGCTTAGGTCAGTTTTACAGCAATACTTCAATGTGATTTGAATTTATTTCTGAGGCACTCAAGGAATCTTAAATTTGAAATGAACAATGTTTCAAAATGGATGATGGTTATTGTAATGCTAAAGTCTTGTTGCAAGAGATCCGGGGCAAATCTTGAACTCCAAATACTTATAGATAATCCAGTATTTACGTAATCTCACTATGTGGTTATGCGAGGCAGTTGTAATCGAAAGTACGATATTATTTTGAATATAAAATTTATTTGCTCTATTATGGACCAGTCACTAGCGTGATAACATCATTTGCACGTTCCGTTAGATCTACTTTTGCCTTTTCCAACCTTTCAAGCGTTCTCTCCTTGTTGTACGTTTTGGGCTCTTGAAACTGAAGACTGTTACTGGATAATGATAATTGAAACTTTTTTAGCTATAGACCACTTCTGAAGTTTGAGCGATGAATAAATCTTTGTCGATTAGTTGCTTTTAGAGCTTTTAGAATATGTAAAAAAAATTTCTTAACCTGAAAGATTCTAATAAAGAAATTAATAGTGAAAGTATTGATCATACTGCATGAGCTTTCTAATGGATTGAACAAAATAAAAACTATTTCTTTCGAAGCGGTACGACAGATCAGTGGAGTGTCTGTTAAAAGTAGTTTGGAAACGTTGACGCTTGTTTGATGAGAACAGTCGGAACTTAAGTTCATATGCTAAGGGTTTGTTATTTCACCTCTTCTATTGTTTGATAAATCACGGCGAGATGAATGTAAAGGTTTTGATTGGAGAAAGCTGTTTCTGTCATACAAAGTTAGTGTCTTTTAATGTTGGTTTGGTTATCTGCTAAGATGTTTACAGTGGTAACTCGTATGTTCTTGGCCAGTAAATACAACAATAAAATTGCACCAACAAATTCAATGGTACACTTAAGAATACTGGAAAGTTATGAAGAAGCACTAAGAGATAGGTCTCAGAGATAATCTGATTGCTCGCGGTTTTTGAAAGTTAATATTAGACAATTTCATTCATAACATTTTTCTTCTTTTGAAAAATTCTGTCATTTTGGTGAAAGCCATAATCATCGACTGAAAGGAAGTGGAGTAAAATGTAGCTTTTAATCGTCAAGATACTGGCTGATAAGTCTGATGTAAAGCGACATTTTTTTTTTAGCGTTATCGACGAGTATCCAAAATTTGGTGATAGTCTACTATTTGTTGATTAACTTTATTTTAGATCAGGCATCAGAAAACGGTACCATTGCAAAAAAACAATCAAATTAAAGGCAATGTAAAATTTGCTATAAAAATTTTAAGAAGTAAAATGAAAAAAAAAAAAAAACAAAAAGACTCAATCTCATTTAGAAGTTTTACAGATAGACTTCTATTTTTGCTTTTGAATATCAAATGTTCCCTCTTCTTTTTTTTATGCTTTATGTATATTTATTTTGAAATGATCAAAAAATATATATATACTTGGGAGGATAACGTTGATACATGGACATCTAAAGCAATAGGAATTGAGGATCAATCTGTGATGCTCAACGTCAAAAAGATATATACTGGCTTGATTTAAAGTTCTTTTTTTTTTTTTTTTTTTTTTTTTTTTTTTTT